TCTTTTCTTCCCCCACTCATAAAAAAATAAGAGAACAAAAGAAAATCAACAATTCGGTGGAAAAAAATGTTGCTTAGAATTGCGATGCAAATAGCTGGGGATGACTTTAGAATTCCGTACTAGTTCGAAGGTAAGAGAATGGAATAGAAAAATCAAGGTGATGTACACTCCGCTGAGGTTAAAAAACCCTTTCAACTTCTTTTGAGCCCCCTTTCAACCCCTTTGAGCCCCCTTTAAACCCCATGTATGCCCCACGTCCTCCCCTTACAGGGCGTTCTGCCAATGCCTCAACAATAACGTCTGGGTGTTTTATTTGAAAATAATGCGCGGGTCTTCTATTGCAAGGGGCGTTATATTCAAGACAAGATAAACTGAATAAAAAGTATGTATACTACTAGTTTATGGTAAATGAAATATAAAGCGGGCGTTCTATTTTGGGGGATAAGACAGTAGCAGCTCTAGAAGTGGCGTTCTATTTTGGGGGATAAGACAGTAGCAGCTCTAGAAGTCTGCGTCAGCAGCAGGTATGGAGTGCATGTTATGCCGCGGGGATCCTTTGTTTGTTTGGTTCAGGAGGCTCTTTACTGAATTTCGTATGCATGCAGAAGCTTTTCTGTGCTAAAAGACCCTTGTGGCGAGGGTGTCTTTACAGAGTGACATGATATTGCCGAGGATGTTACAGCAGTGAAATGGTTGCCGAGTGACCACTGGAATTTGGAGTCTTCTAGTGTCGCAAAGACTGAGCGGTTTTGAATATCCGCGGTGGAGATATCATAGAATGAAAGCAATTCAGTGGGTGGAATTCACGTCATTCCCACGTTGCATGCTGGAAAACTTTCACGGCCTCATGTTTTGAATTTCCATTGTGAGGCTAGTGTAACGTGCAGATATCACCGCAGTTTAGTGGGTATTACATGTATTTGTCATGTGGATCCCTGATAACCTTTGCACGCTGTTGTTCGGCTCATTTGACTCTGAGCCTCAGCTAGGGAATGGGCACTTCACTCTGGCGGAGCAAAGACATCTTTGTGGCTATTGTCTGTATTGCTAGACAGGAGGGAAGAGAATGATGTAGGGGCCTTGGTTACTATCATACTATGTGATAAAATGAAGCTTACTCTCCCAATCCTCTAATGCTGGTAATTTTGGCCTCCACTTGCCCAGGTAAAGAAAATTCCGGGTAAGCCACTGCTGGTCTAGCAGCTAGGCCCTACTGGTGTCTAGAGTCATGCTTGCTGAGTACGGACAATTGCTTCAATGTTCGTTCTTCCGACAGCTTCTCGCTCGAAGTGGCCATGGTGTTGGGGGGTAAGCAGCAAGTGGCTGAACTTTCTCTTCTGATGGATGGGTAGCGGAGTTGATTTGCCACCCAGTTTGATGTTAGTCTCGTAGGCAGGGTTTGGAATGAGATAACAAGCAAAGGATATGGTTACCTCGGTCTTGAGGTTAGAAGAGTGAAGTCAAGCCAAACCACTTCCTCTTTATAGGTCTCAAATCACATTTCCAAGGTGAAGAACGTGCATATTCACAACCACCTGCCTTGGAGCTGTACAAAACTTCTATCCTTTGCTGTGAACTACAAAGATCATCTCGAGAAACATGCCGACTATTGCACCTCGTTGCCAGTCGTTGTTTTAAACTGGTGTGGCTGCCACAGTCTGCGACTTTTCAGGTTGTCTGTTGGGTGACCCATATGCAGTCAAAGTTTTTCCTTCCATCAACTGAAACCGTCTCAGCCCACAGGACAGGCATGAAGAGGGAGCGGTGGTTTCATCACGCATTTTGTCTTCGTGGTGCGGGGATGTAGTTATTTTCCTTGTTTTCTTATCTGTTTTCACAGCCATGGTCTGGTCATCTATTAGTGCAAGTTTGTTTTCAGATGAGGGAAGATGGATTCTCCGATGTGCTAGGCTTCTGTGGTTACTTGGAAATCGATTATTCCGGCTGAATGCTGTCTGAGGTTATGTTGTCTTGGTAAAATCTAATCCACGGAAAAACAAACGATTCCAGCAAATGGCAACATGAGTGTGTAAATGTTTGACAAATGTCTCAACACTTCATTTGGGGTTAAACCACAAATACATCTGAAAAAGGAGATTGAGCTTCGCCTACAAAAGAGTAGTCCATGAACCGCGGATTCATTTGATCGGTGGTCCATGGCCTCCAAATTTTTAGGAAAGGCTCACTCTGCTTTTTTGGATGCACGGGTGAACCGCTGATTCATGTTATCGAAAGTCCATGGCCTTTTTTTGGATGTACTGGTAGTTTAAACCACTAGTACACGGCCCCAGCCTTGCAGTCCGAAACTTGTTGCCACAAGAAAACGAGGCCGAAATGTCAAACGCTGGGCGATCTGTTGGTAAATTGGATCGGCGGTCGCGTTTTCGCTTCCCGCTTTCACAACTCGAGGTGTCGGGCATGCGGCCCAGGTGCCCGTGTACTGGTGCTTTAAGCTTTATACAAAACTTCCTGTTCAGCCATGAGTTCCAATGATTCTGTTAAGGTGTTAGGTCTTGGTAGGGTTTGCTCCCTGGTTGGCTCCAGTCCCCCATAAGATTCTGAGGGTGATGTTCGAGATGACTGTGTCGCGCTGCTGCTGAATTATGGAGTTATTTGAACGTATTTCCACTCTTCTAGGCTAAGTTCCCATTCCCATAAGATTTTGAGGTTGATGTGAGAGACGTTTGTGTGTGGTACTGCTGCTGAATTGTGGAATTATTTCCACAACCGCTAATATTACCATGCCTTATCAAAAACCAAATTAAAAGAGAGAGTAACATAGCCCCTTAGGCGTTCGTTGCAATTTTTGTTCTGTAATGGGCTGAAGGTCCGTGTGGATGGGGAGGTCCTGTGTGTGTCCGTGCTGAGCCTGTCTGGCTTCTGACTGTGTATCGCCGATTGGGTGTGTCTTATTTGGCTTGTTGTCTGCAGCTCATGGGTTTGCTCTTTTCATTTGTGGAGGCAGATCGACCCCATGGCCCACTGTTGGCAGGGTACTTCAGCAAGGTGAGCTCTCTCTTGGCAGCGAGAGGTGCTGTGAGAGGAACTGGAAAATTGGTGAGGCTGTCTGCTTAATCTGGCCGGACAAGGGGCGTGGGGGGTAAAATACTTCGGGAATTTATTTCTGTATCCACTTGCTGGGCTAGCCAAGATTATTCAGGTAGACTAGGAAACAAGTGTTTTCCTGATCCTTGCTGCAGATGAAAATGTCAGTGCTGATTAGAAAGATAGAAAGATAGAGGACGGGGGCGTGGATATTGTTTTGCAGGTGTGCTGCTTGTGTTTACGAAAACCAGCTGCCTCTGTCCCTGAGTTCGTGTAATGGTGAATACGGGTACTGACCAGAACTCATTTTGTTTTGCAGGTTGTTATCTGCTTGCTTGTAAGGCGAACAGATGAAGTGATGACCTACTTGCAGGTGTGTGTTCAGGTTGTTGTAGTGATTCCCTGAGTGTTTGGCCATTCATTTTTTGGTGTTGGTTAACCATGATGATGAAGGGTCTGATAATTTAAAAAAAAGACTCGATTATAATTGTGGAATTTAATAATTTGTATTAATCTTATTGCTGAGTCTACCAAGACATGTATTGTATAACTCCGACGAAACAGTTTGTTGCAGCCCCTGGTTTGTTGTCCTCTTCTCCCTCTCTGCCTACGGTTTACAGGGCAGCTCTGTCTGACGGTATATTGTACTACGTTGTATTGTGTTTGTTTCATCAAGCAATAAAATTTATTCATTCTAAAAATAATTAAGTCCAGGGAGCTATTGTTTCCAGTGTTGTAACCAAAAGTTGTTTGCATAGCTTTCATTTTGAATTGAATGTCATGCTTTAATATTGCGAACAAGGGTTTGTAGGGTGTTTTCTTTTTCTATTTTATTTTTCATTTTAAAAATAGAGGCATTCCATGGTGACCCTCAGCCAAAAGGTGTTTGAATATCATTTTATGCAGACATGTTTTTTTTTTTCGTTTTTTGGAAATCTTTTGTGGTAAAATCTTGCGCTCGTACTGCCTGGTACTGGGCCTTTGCCTGGGAAGGCCTGTCTGTGTGGGACTGCATGGATGCCCAGATCGTGGGTCATTTATTTTTGAAATTTCAAAAGACAAGATTTTTGGGCCATCATCCCAATTTCCCATATGTCTCTCGTGCATGTGAAGCAGTGCGGTGCTGCTTTGTGCTGCATGTAGGGACTTTGTGAGCATGTTGTGCACCTTAAGTCCGATTTAGATTTGGCAGGGGCTTCAGCGCGGAGTTGTCTAGACGTCCTTTATGTGAGATGGTGCATCTGAACAAAGTGACGGCTTCAGGATCTCAATGCCTGCTTTGCTTATCCATGGTATCGTGTCACGGCCAATGAGTGGGTGTTTTTTTGCAGCTGAACTTCTGGATTTTTGACGGCTCTTCATTGTTTTTCCTGTGTTTAGGCTCATCAAGATCTGTTGAAGAAGCTCGTTGACCTCATAGGAATTACCTCAATAATGGAGGTGAGTGCCTGTTTGAAAATGCTGGAGACACCCATGGGCCTAGCCCAGTTGGTACACCCATGAACTGTTGAAATACAGACCCATGTTCAAATCCAGATACAATCAGACCAAAACAAGAATAAAAGTTTCTGAAATACCTAGGCCCGGTCAGTTCAATCATGATGTCTCAAGGCCATTGTCTTTTTAAAGGAGAGAAAGGAAGAGAAAAAAACAAAACAAATGCTGGAGATGGATTGCAAAATATCAGGGACTAGTTTTTTGAAATGTCTGCAACCAGTGGGTGTGGAAGTCGAAGTATTCTCAGTTGAAATGATGGTGTCAGGTAGCTTCAGGACCGAATGTTTTCGATGTTCTCGATCCTCCAGTACATGAGATGTATGCCGTACTTGTTCTCTCCATCTGCATCATGCAATTGTGTTTTCTGGGTGCATGTGGGTTTATAAATCCGGCTGGGACGGAAGAGGTATGCTACATGGACCTTGACTCGTCTTGGAGTGTTTGAGGCTTATTTGTTTTGCACCTCCTTACGGTTCCAATTGACGATGACTCTAGAACATAGTGATGGGTCTGTTGGATTTTGTTCCCTTGTGTCCCTGGTGTTTGAACTAATCAGTGGATTGTCCTTATCCTGATGTCTTTTACCGAACAGGTTCTCATGAGGCTTGTTGGTGCGGATGAGCAGATACTTATGTTCCATCCGAACTCGATACAGGTGAGTGCCACTCAGATCTTAACTGCTGATAATTATAACTCGGTGGTGTTCTGCAGCAGTTCAATTTGACCCTGAAGAGATCGGCAATTGACTGATGCTGCTTCGACTGGCTGTCTCCTACATGGAACTATTCATCTTTCCCAGGTGACATGGCCATTTCGGTGATTGTTGCTGTTGTGGATCAAAATCGGACTGTTTTGGATTCCGTCTGAGTCCTCTTTGTCCGGGAAGTCTTTGATACAAATGGTCAGTGATGAGGCTGAACGGTTCCATGATTATGTACATGGAACTCTAATTACCCGAGGGAAAGGTTGTGCACATGCTGTATCTGTGATTTCCCTCTGTCGGCCTTTCTTGTTGTCAGAGTGTCTGCACTGTAGTTGGTTGTTGCTTTCATCCTTTGTACCATCTTGGCTAACTAACGAACTTGTGTGGTTTGTTGTCATGACCATCTCAATGTGTATGCAGTGGCTGGTCGATGCACATGCTGTATCTGTGATTTCATTTGTCTGCCTTTCTTGTTGTCAGAGTGGCTGCACTGCAGTTGGTTGTTGCTTTCATCCTTTGTACCATCTTGGATAACTAACGAACTTGTGTGGTTTGTTGTCATGACCATCTCAATGTGTATGCAGTGGCTGGTCGATACAGATATATTGGAGATGATTATTGACAAGCTCAGTCCTCAGGTTGGTTGCCGCTGTGTCAGTTGACTGAAAGGAGTAGATACCACATCACACAAAAAGTATCCTGGCACTGAAGCCTGACTGTCATATGACACCTGACCTTGTAGGAGAGTGAAAGAGGATGATGCGCACAGCTCATTATGGTGAAGGGTTTGGACCTTGCTCTCTTAAACCCATCATAATCCGTAGTCTTTGTTGAAGACTTTCTTCCTTCTGGAAGAAAGCTGTGTGGACGAGGGTGGGTGGGCGAAGGGGATTCGGCGGGGGGGGGGGGGGGGGAGGGGAGGATTGCAGGTGCAGAAGGGGAGTGGAAGGAATGAGAACTGGGGCACTGGATGAGGACGAGGAAGGATGTAGGAGTGATGACTGGAGGAGTGACTCTATGATGAGTGTGAGGTGAAGGAACAGAGGCCAAGGAGGGAAAAGTGGAGATGCAGGACTATGATCGATGCGGAGAGCAATCGTTAGGGTGGTGGTCAGAAGGAAGTGGAACTGTGACAGGATGAGGATGAGGGGAAAGTGTGGGAGGTGGGAGATCTTATGGAGGGAATGTCACTGGGCCAATCAGGAGATAGTATGGAGTGAAAACCCGTAGTACGGAGGGAAAGAATATGAGGGCAAGACCGTAGTTGCATTTTGGTAAAGTCATGATTTTGGATTACAAGGTGTATGACCTGGTCTGTAATGGAGGCAACCTTCACTTGCAAACATGAGAGAGTGAATATGAAGCGGGATGCTGGAGTTGAATGTGAGACAGGATGGATGCCGTGTGAATGAACAATCAAATCTGTGTTTATCCATAGGACCCTTTGTGATGTCCGGCATCAATCACCACTATGGTCCCTTCGTCGCTGCCAGTGTTTGGACTTTCGGGCGATCCTGAATTACAACCAATTGCGGACTTGGGATCCTTAAGTGTGCCCACATCTTGGATCTGCTGCCCGCAGACAGTCTGTAGGCTTTCTCCTGTGGAGGGGGCCAGGATTTAGAGGAAGCTGGGCTTAGATGACATGGAGTGAAGCATCTAAAGAGGAGGATGAAGGATAAGAGTAGTGGTAGTAGTAGTAGTAGTAGGAGGAGGAGGAGGAGGAGGAAAAATGTGAAAGGAAAGGGCAGAACATTGGATAGATTCGGAACTTCCGTGGGTTTAGACAGGGATCCAGATAACCTGAGTTGTGAACTGTTGATACTCGAAGATCTGTGCATGGATCCAAACCGCAGCTCCAGCAAGTATCTTACAAGTGTGTGCATTTGTGTGTGTGTGTGGGTAGTTGGACAGGGGGTTGTGGATGTGTGTGCATGACTGGGTGGGCAGCCTTGTGGGCTTGTTTGTGTGGATGGGCAGGAGGTTTCTGTGAGTGGGCACGCACTTGCTCGAGCATGTGTGTGTGTGGTTGTGGGGGAGGAGGGGGCTGTGCGTTTGTGGGCAGGTGAACGCTTGTATGTGGATGGCCGGGCTGCATGTCTGTGTGAATGGGTGGGTAGGCATGGGGGAGTAGATGGGTGGTTGGGTGTGCGGGCAGGTGTGGGCGATTTCCTCCGTGCCGGGCACGGCCTGATTTGTTCCATGCTGGCAGACTGGTGGGACAAAGCTGCATGCCTCGCTGCAAACTGCCTTGGGGAGAAGCTCTGCACTGCTGTGTGGAACCACAAACATAGCATCATGGGGTGGAAGATGGGGGCTTATGCCCCTTGCATGAGAAATGAGAACTTGCCGTTGATCTATCCTATCTTTTTCGTTTCTGTTTTCTTTTTCCCACCCCTTCAATGTTTCCATAGCTTCCTGCACTTTGCACATTGCACAAGTGCACCATAGCAATTTGCACGAGGATGGATGGTTAAATTGTTGGAAAGCGGTACATGCAACTGTGGCTCGAATCCGGAGTCGCAGTGGCTTTTTTATTGTGCGTTTGGACACTCCAGATCAATGCAAACTAGTACTGTAGCAGGATAACAAAAATGGTTGTAATGTATTTGTTTGTATAGATATCGCAGTCCTTGACGTTTGAGGTATTGCTCTCCGATAGGATTTGAGGATTGCTAGGGCTAAAATTGACTGGATTGGTACTAATTATGTTGCTTTTAACTTTTATGTTTAGTCTGGACGGATAGCGTGATGTCCTAAAGGTCATTGCCTTGCTGAAAGGAGCCATGAATTCTCAAAGAAACTTGTCAGTGATGGCTCTACTCTTGGCTCAGTGAATTTCAGGACAACTGGATGATAAATGGTAACATCAACACATTATTTCACAGATGATTTGTGTTGGTGAGGGTTGTGTGATATGAGCTGAGGGCATTGTCACGTGTATGTTTTTCAATTTGACGGTGGTGCTTTCCTAAAGCTCGGCTGTTTTGTGCGTCTTTTGCGTTCCTGTTTCACTGTATTTGTTGGCGAATTGCTCATTCTGTGTCGTCGGCAGTATTCTGCTGATGTACATGCCAATGCTGCTGAAGTTTTATCTGCTGTTGCGAGGACACCATCTGTCCTCTCGTCTCAGCTGGCCAGCTCTAGGTATGTTGTCTTCCTCTCTGCCCGTGAAAAGTTGATAACCTGGAAGCAGTGGTCCAATGTGTGAGTACGGCACAAAGAGAAGGATTCAGGAAATATGGTTTTTTATAGGAATTGCGATTCTCCTTCCGATAGTATTTGTCTGCCCGGTCAGCTCTGTCACAAAAAGGAAAGAGGATCCCATAAATAGCTTAGTTTTATCAATTATGAAGCTATGGCATTTGTGGTGTGTTTCTCATGTGTAGGCTTGTATTGCTTTTTATTGGAATTTAGAAGGAACATGCACAGCTGGATGACCTGAATTGTGAACTCGTGCAACCAAGTAAGATGACAAATAGAAACCGGAGCGTTGCACATTCTTTTTTAAACCACCTCTCAGTTGCGAATATAACTGGGCACCAGCGGACCAAAATGGCTGGCAGCGCCAGCCAAATTGAAGGAAAAAAGGTCCCGCTGGCACTTTGGCAAAGCTTGGTGCACGGTTCAGCGAAAGGGCCAGCGGTAGTGGTGAATGTGGAAAATAAATGCAGAAGGCTGAGAGCGAGTATGTTGTATCTCCTCTATCTCTTAGCTACTATTTTTAACAAGTTCCCATGTTTGGCAGTGGAGTTTGTCGAACTAGCAATAGGGCAAGGCAGTATGATATGCCACCTCTACCTCTGAGCCTCTTAACTGCTTTCCCCCCCCCTTCTCTGGCCCTCCTTTCTAAGAAGCTTTGGCAGTGGGAAGTTAGGAAGTATGTTATGCCACCTTAATAGTGTGAGCCGTTTTTCTGAAAACTTTGATGTTTGGCAGCAGAGTATGTACGAGCTGGCACTATCTCTGTCCACTGAAAAAAGTGGCACCAGAGAGAGAAACCCACGAGAATAGGTGATCTGAAAAAAACAAGGGAAGCAAGAATATAGGCAGGCAAGGAACAGAGGGAGTGGATGGTGTGGATCTGGTTTGTCGGTGGTTGGACATCCGGATCCGATAGAGCACTCACTCGAAATGTCTGTGGAATTGGACAAAGTAAATTAAAAATGTCGTATTTCATTAGCTGATCTTGTCCTCTGTCTTGTGTTTATCTGGGACTCGTGCTCCCGGATTCGTTACTATATGTGCTCGACGATTTCTTGGTCTCATCAGCTGCTGCCAGCTTGTGTGGACAGTGTGGCTACTTCTCTCCAGTGAAGATCTTACACCTATGGACAATGTCTACGAGTGGGAAAGAATGTACTACTGAAGTCGAAGGTGATAGTGAAAGGTGCAGTTGAGAGAAGAATATAGCTTGTCTTTTTGGGGAAACGAAGGGGTACATGTGCTTTGAATAACTCTGGACTGGTGTGTTTTGCAGGCTTGTTGGCAAGCTGTTCAAGTACGTATTAGAGGACAAGTCATGCAGGAGCGCAATGGTTAACTCGCTCTCAGTGTGCATAACACTTCTTGATCCGAAGCGGGTTGCGAATGCAGCAGAAGCTGGCGTTGCCAGAGGCATTCATGTTCCAGACAATCTGCAGAGTGCAAACCCAGATGAGGTGGATGGGATGCTGCAATCCTTAGGTCAGCTCTGCTTGATTGTGAAAGGGCCTCACTGCACTACTCTTGAAATGCACAAAAGACAAAAATCATGGCCGTGTATCTTTTCATGTTCTAGCTGAAGCTTCACTCTCGTTTTGCACATTTCGAGAGTAGTGCAGTGAGGCCCAAAGACTCAACTTGAATTGTTGAAGCACCTGAATGCAAGCCAAGAATGAAATTCATAAATCCGACCAGGTAACTGCTTGTGAAAGGCACCATATAGTTATGGGTAGCGTTTTTGGCTTTGGGGCATTCTAGCTTAGTGATAGCGAAGTGATAAATGAGATGCAACTTATCTCTCGGGACTGGCTTAGTGTTGTTTCCGCAAGATTTTTCTGGAGCATCGGCATTGAGCTACCTAACTTGGTTTTGTGTGAGGTCCATTTCCAAGTGCAGGACGCTTCGCTTCTATCGACGCTTCTCGCTTCTATCGACGATTCTCGCTTCTATCGACGGTCTGTATAGAGAGTCATCCATGGGAAGTTGCATTGAGTTCAAGCAGATGTGCGGGTCAAAGCCAGACAAGTCTTGATGACAAAGCAAGCTTGATGCATGAGTGCCACACATTTGAAATCAGTACCTTTCCTTCGGTGTCGAAGGCCTCTGAGAGGCTGTGGTAGTAGCTCTTGATTATTACTGATTGGAGTGGATTTGGTAATCTGAGTTTTGAAAGGTGGTTTGTGCAGGTGATCTTTTGGCACTGCTTGACATTACGGGGGATGAGACTGTCTTGCCTACTACTTATGGGCAGTTGAAACCACCTCTTGGGATTCACCGACTAAAGGTGTGTTTGATATCTGCCCTGGCCTGTTTCTGACTCATGTCATTTAAGAGTCTTAAATTTGAAAATTGGCATCCGTATTGGAAAGGTGTTTTCTTGATTGTCAGATGTAGTGGATGGCATAGTCTAGGCACATGCATCCTCAGACTGCAGCTCACTATTCTGAGGCCATCAGCCCCTAAACCACCAGTTCACAGAAGCATAAGTTGACGAAGCTAGCTAGCTTCCAAGGCTCGCGAAGCCTGCAACTGCGCCGGAATCGAAAAGCTCTTACGAGGTGTAGTTGTAGGAGCATCACTTTGCTTTGTGTGGACTGGTTCAAGTAGAACGTTGATAGCAGTGCTTCAGAATGTATAACATTATCTAGACGCTAACCTTTTGTACTCTCCTCTTGACATGGCCTCTAAAAATCATAAAACTTGAAATACAGTGAGACTATGATTTTGTCAATAAACTTGCATAAACGTTTGTGGTTTTGTCAACACTGTTGCACCTCTGGAGTCTCTGTGTCTTATTCTTCTTTTTTCTTTTTTACGATATATTGTTCTCTCAAATCTTTCATCATGTTTCAAATTCTTTCAATTCACCTTCACTACCTACCTACCACTGCTCCGAAACATAGCTTTGTTGTCTCCCTGCAGCCATCAGAGGGGATGCATGTTGCACCCCCGCCCGAACCATGGTGGTCAAGGATGGTGTGGGGCCCCGCAGGTGGGGGTCCGGCTACTGACAAAATGCTCTGTATCTCATTCGTACCCGGTGCCTGTTGCTTTGTTGATGGTGATAAATTCAAACCGACCATGTCTGGTGCTTGGCCGAACGTTTGTTCGGTTTTTTATTTTTAAATCGTGCTGGGCTAAGGATTTGAACATGCCTCCCAGGCAAGAGTTGTTTCTATTATGATGTTACATAACATATTTTTTTTCCCTACGCCATTAGCCACGCCGTTCACCCTGTTTTCGTGGGCGGCCCGACTGTGCAAGGACCAGGGAAGACCCCAGCAAAAAAAAAAAAAAAACAGGCTACCAGAGTGGCCCGGGGCCACTTGCCCGGCCGGGCCAAAAAAAAAAACAAAAAAGAGGCTACCAGAGTTGCCCGGGGCCACTTGCCCGGCCGGGCCAAAAAAAAAAATAAAAAATTCGAACTTTAGTTTTTGTTTTAAGAAAGAATTTCGATGTGACCCTGAGGCAAATGTTGTTCAGTTTATTTTTTTGGTCGTGAACGTTCGTGTTCTCGGTCGCCGAACGCGAACCCAACAGACGACTAGTTGCAGGTTAGCCGGCTACCTCTATTGATAGCAGTGTCTACTGAACCATATTCTGGAATTCTGGGTGAGTGGGGAACGGACGAGGCTGGTCTGAACAGTTAGGCTAGCTAGGATGCAGGTTATGTTCACAACAGCACTGGTGTCCGTGATGAACGAAGTTATGGAATCTGCACAAGAGTGCTGTGCTTGTCTGAAGTCAATCTATGGATTTTTGCAGCACAGGTCCCTGAATGTTCTTCTGAGGTTTAATTGGAGGGGAGTTTACTGCTGGGCCACTACCCCACATGACAACACATCAGGTGATTGTTTCTGGCCAAATACGTAAGAACAATGTATTGCCATCTCAAATATCCAGGAAAAAATGTGGGTGACCTTGAGAAGTTGAGATTCTCCCAGTTAACACTGGTTACCTCTACGGATCTGAGAACTTTGTCTGATTATTGCGACCCTGAAAAAGCCTTCTGCGGACGAAAAAGTATTATTGACCGACATGTGAAGCTCATCGGGCAGCCATATATAGCTCAGCCAAGTGTCCTGCTACCGTTCCCTCTGAGGTGTCATGGCAATTGATGTGAATTTTACATCTTGGTTGGAGAGGTCAGTGCCGACTGTTTATATCGCTGGGACTTTCTGGTTAAAGTGCTGTTTTGATTATGGAGCTAACATGATGGACATTTTTTGTCACAGGATAACGGGTGTTCTGTTATTTGAACAATCTCTTTGTGTCTTTGTTTGCTTTTCAGATTGTCGAGTTCATTTCGATTTTGCTTCAAACGGGCAGTGAGATGGCAAGGGTAGAGCTAATAAGACTCGGGGCAATTCAGATGGTGCTGAAGCTTTTTTTCCAGTACGTCCTGGCCCACGAACATACAATAGCCTACCTCACGGAATATAGCTGTCATGATCCATTCCATTGGGAGTAACTGCATTCTTTATGCTGTTTGTGTCCTGACAACCAAACCAGCTGTCATCCAGATCAGGAATTCCTGATCCTAATCGATTCAAATTTGTTGTTTTGTGCATTATGAATCGAGATGCTGCCCCTGTAGCTCACTCAAGTGGAGCGGATTAATCTCCGTCCAATGGACAATTTCTTTCTTTCTGGTTTTGTTCTGCTTCTGCTGGTCAAAGTCGTTCCCGGTGTGGAGAGTTTAAAGGGCTTGTAAAGGCTTGCAAAACTACTACCAGGTCTGGATAAGTTGAAGGGCTTGTTAAGGCTGTGCAAAACTAATACTTCGGTTGCTCACGACTGGTGCTGTTTGTTCAGCACAGCCCTTTTGTTTAGCAAAAGTAAGTCCGGTAGGTTAGTCCGGTAACTCTAACCTAATTGGGATCTAGGTTTGGGGAGTGTTTGTTGAATTTTCATTAGTGTTCCAGGCAGAAATTGCTGAGAGGGAGGTGAAAAAAAGTGAAAAAAGTGCTGTGTGGCTTGGCTGCTGTAATTTGATGAAGTCTGATGGCCCAGAGCATTCATTCATGGGGGTTGTCGTATGTTCTGGTCAGCTGGTGTTTTCTCACACCTTATCCTTGCATCCACTGCTGTAGCTGCCAGTGGTCCCGAACTTGAGTACCATGAACAGAAAAGTTCTGTGGTGTCTTGGAGAGATTTAAACCACCTATACCTTTCGCAGGCAACAACAAGAATCGGAAATGTACCATTCTGGGTTCTTTGCGGTCTCGCGGCTACGTGATCGGAATGGCTGGAGCTTTGGCAGAGCTTGGTGCGCAGTTCTTTCGTGTTGTCAAAAAGAGGCTCGGATGTAGTGGTGGCTTAAAACTGTCTTTCTTTGGGGAAGCTATTGCGTTTGCACAAGATTGCAAAAAGTGGTGGTTGCCGAAACCTGTGACTGATGATTCATCTGCCTGTTCTCTCTGTGGCACAGATTTCCATACAACAACTTGCTCCACCACCAAGTGGAGATCATCATAGCGACGATTCTTGATTGTGGAAACCCGGGACTGATTGATAACCTAATGAGAGACTGTGACTTGGTGACGAGGGTGCTTGACACTGATGCGGATCCAATCGCCCCAGATTCAGCGCCTGAGGTCAGTTTCATTTTTGCGTTGTTCTCAAGGATTGTTTCCTGCGACTGTGATGTGCCTCTCATCCACAGCACTGTGTGCCTTAGTAGAAGGTGGTTTGGACAGAATGTGGTAGGCCCAGTAATTTGTTGTTGCTGGCTCCGAGCTGTGAAAGCAATCCTCGGCTCGTGTTCTTTGGATGTCCTTGCCGAGACTGCTTTTCCATTCGTTTATCCTTGTTCTGCATGAACTTCATATCTGTAAAAGCTTGGTGCAATCAATTGTTGCAGTCGATGCACAATGGACTTCATGTTGTGCAGTTTTTCCTGCAGTACGCAGTTGAGAATGGACTTGGATTGTGATTAACTCCACTTCAGTTTTTGGTTTGAAACGTGAGGTGTTAACTTTGGAAACCTGCAGAAGAAGTACAAACAATGAAAGGTAACTTCGTTATGGTAGTATACCAACCCGTAAACCAGACCCGACTGAGTACGCTTGTTGGATATGATGGTCTGGTGGTCTGTGTTTTGAAAGCAGGTCAGATTCATTGTATTTGGTAAAACTTTGCTGAAGTGGATATGAATGTGACAACTCTAGAACTTTTGTCTTAGTAATAGAGACTAGCTCACAAATTGTGGTCTCTGGATGAATGCGGGTTTTTTTGTGTACAGTATTCGTCTCAGGACCAGCATCCGAAGAGGCCCCCAAATCGTGTGGGGAACATTGGTCACATAACAAAGATATGCAACAAGCTTGTGCAGGTGGCCTGTTCAAACTCAAAAGTTGATGCATACTTGAAGGTACGTGGTGCCTGACGTCTGGCTGAACTTCTCGGGTGCACCTCCTTTTTGTGTGCTTTCTGGGACTAACAACTACGCTTTGGTGTTCTGTGTATGGATTCTTGATGCTTTGAGGAGTGTCTGTCTGTCAGAACTCTTGGAGGTGATGTTTTGGTAATGTATCCTGATGGCATAGAGAAGGATCTGTTAGAACGGGTGTGGTTTACAAGACATCACAGCAATCAGGAACATAAAAATCAACGGCCAACTGATCTCTCTTGTTGTTGATGACATGGCAGGCGAACGAGCGCTGGGCAGAGTGGCAGTCTTCTGTATTGCAGAAACGAAATCAGATCGAAGATATCTTCAAATGGGCTTGTGGGTGAGT